GGGGGGGGGGGGCAGACACATCCAGTTTCAAGGTCACAGAAAGAAACGAGAGCTGATGAAGGAACAAATCAGATCGTGAAACCTTCAAATACGTTTTTTAAGCTGATGTAAACTTTTCTTCCTTCCTGCTAAAGACGGATGAACACAAACAATCTGTTTTTCACTTTGCCAGAGTCAACCAGACTTTTCATTGACTGCCAGCTGCCATGTAGAGGCTGTGTAAAGAGCAGTGGGAAGGAAGCAGCACATATTATCATCAGGACGGCGACACGACCTCCGGCAGAGGCGAACGCAGCCCTGGACCTGCTGACGTTAGACATACGCTGCTTTCAGACCCGAACTCTGGATCATCTCCTGAAACGTTGTGAAGGGGCTGAATGTGAGAAAACATCCGGGTCAGCTGCCGCGGACGTTCTCCGGAGTTTGAGAATGTCAGAGCGAGTCCGTGTGAGAGAACAGCTCGTCTGGAACCTTCCCAGTGAGCGAGTGGACGTGTCTCTGAGGTTTCTAACACGTGACGGACGTGAAACTGGAAGAACACAAACATCTGAGGATGAAGAAGAGGAGTCGTACACGTAGAAGAAGAAGACGTCAACGTGGAAAGACGAGGAGGTTCCAGATGTTTTGGTGATGAGGGCCGACACTGATCTTTACACAGCATGTTTACTGTACCTGACTCTGCAGCTGTGACGCCTCTTTAGCGTGCAGCGTGTCCAGAGTCTCCGGCAGCTTCGAGTACAGAGAGCTGCTCGCGTCCTTCTTCCCTGCTTCTTTGTATTTGGCCTAAAACACAAGGCGACACATCATTTGCACATTTTCCGTGAAACACAAAGATCTCGACAGGAGAGTTTACAATTTAGATTTTGAATGACTCCGGATCCCCCAGGAAGAGCTGGAAAACGTGGCTGGGGAGACGGAGGTCTGGGATGGAAGAGAATGGAAGAATGATCGAACGGATGAAATCTCACCGTACCTCACTTTGTATTTCAGAAACAGCTTTGGCAAACTGGATTTCATTGGTGTCAGTCATCTGGGAGTAAACACTGACCGTCTGACTCTTCTTCCCACTTTCTTTGTACTTGTTCTAGAGACAAGACGTCACGTTCAGTGTTTATCATCTCTCTCTGGAGTAAAAAAAGAAAACAGATAAAGAACTGGAGGAACGATGGAAACTGTCTGTAGCTCTGTACCTCGCTCTGCATCTCCGTCATCTCCCGGGCGAACTGCGTCTCTGCGGTCTCGGAAAGCTGCGAGTACAGAGACGACGTCATCTCCTTCCTCCCGTCATCTTTGTACTTTTTCTGTCGGAAACAAAAAACACGGCAGCAGAGTGAACGTAGAGAAGCAGAGACTGTGATTGTTTATCGTGAGATTTACTCGTGTTTCTATTTCACACACAGTTTGTGATTTAAAGGTCCAGTGTGTAGAATGTAGCGACATCTAGTGGTGAAGTCTCATGTTGCAGCTGAATAATGTTTCCACTCAGTAACAATAGTAATAATTAGCAGAAATCAACATTTAAACAAGTTTTGAAAAGCTTCTGTGAGGTCGATGCATTTGATTTTGACTGAATTGAAAGATGGAGGATGAAGAGAAAAGGGAGGAAAAGAGAGCGAGAGAGAAAAAGGAAGAGACTCACCTCGCTCTGCAGCTCCGTCGCTTCTTTAGCGTGTTTGGTCTCCAGGGTTTCAGGCAGTTTGGAGTAAAGAGACGACGACGCCTGCTGCTTCCCTGCCTGCTTGTACTTCACCTGAACACACACACAGTGAATCAGATCGTGTTGAACTCTCCACAGAAAATTATCTTCAACTTCTAAAAACGGCCCTCAGCGTTATCTGGCTGACAGCCCATTGGTCGTTGACATAGCAACCATTCCGTGACATCACCTCCAGGCTTTATCAGCTTCCACCGAACACTTCCAGATCCGTCACACAGCGACGGCACTTTGTTTGTATTTTTCTACTTAACGAACCGTTGATGTTCATCAGCTGAAAACTAAAGCGTCTCCTGCGGAGCTGAGTCCAGGCCTCCTTATCTCTGAGCCGTCCAACACGCCGCAGGGTCGCGGTGCAGAAATACACGTCCGCTGGAGCACCGCACCAGGGATTTCTATGTTGTCGCGTCCTGAAGGTGTTTTTATTCTTCTGTTGGGTAAAGCTGCAGCCGTGTAACGATTATGACGCAGCAGCTGCTTCAAATGGTTCAACAACATCTGGATCTCAATGAAAACATCTAGAATCAGACCGGAATCATCATCCTGTCGTTGTACGTCTCAGTCTACAACGTTCCTCTGGTCACTGTGACCTTTGACCTATGAAATCTAATCACTTCATCTTTGAGGCCAAGTGACAAATGGGCAAAATATGAAGAAATCCTTTGGGCCACTGTGACGACAGATTTTAAAACAGTTCAAACACGTGTCCCTGATGTGTCTCACCTCGCTGTGCGTCTCATTCATCTCTTTGACAAACTGAGTCTCCAGAGTTTCGGGCAGCAGCGAGAACAGAGTGTTGGACAGATCCTCTTTGTCCTTCTTGTATTTCGTCTTCGGACGACACAGAAAAGACCAAACAATGTAAACAGAGAAGATAAAAACTTTCCAGTGAGCCATCGGAGAAACGCAGGCCGCACCTCGCTCTGCATCTCCGACATGTGTTTGGCGAAATGCATCTCTGGCGTCTCTGGGAGGAGGCGGTACAGGGAGGAGGACGCCTCCTTCTTACAGCCCTCTTTATATTTCACCTGCGCCACAAAACAGACGATTGAACCAAACAAAGTGTGAACGTGTCCCTCGTGCGATCACCAGTCTTTTATTGTGAAGGACTCAATATTCTAATAATCACATCAATGGCGACAGATTTCCTCACCTGGCTCTGCAGCTCCGTCACCTCCTTGGCCAACTCGGTCTGGAGGGTTTGAGGAAGGATGGAAAACAGCGAGGACGACGAATCCTTCTGCACGTCCTCTTTGTACCGGAGCTGCAGCGGCGCCAGGTGCATGTAGTAACATGGATGTATAAATGATATAATTCTATTTAAATCAACTCAACAACACGTCAGAGTGTGATTGTGTGATGAGCACCTGGCTCTGGATGTGTGACGCCTGCCTGGCGTGTTGAGTATCCAGGGTTTCAGCCATCGTGGAGTACAGACAGCTGCCGGCCCCCTGCCTCCCGGACTTCTTGTACTTCGTCTGAAAACGAAGGTAAAGGGCATTTTTTAATAACCGTGATTCTTTTGTGATTCTGTGACATGAACCATTTATATAAACACACTGAATGACACGGCCCCCTGACGGAGTCTAAATCTACTGTCTCCTGATCCAGTGGTTCCCAGCCTGAAGATTCAGACGCTCAAAAGACGCCGACGTCCAACGCCAGAGTAGGAAACATGTACGCACAACATGATGTGTCGTTTTCAGCTCTTCAGGTGTAGGTGTGTGTGTGTGTGTCAGTTCATGTGTGTTGGATGGCGTCTGTCGTCTCACCTCGCTCTGCAGCTCAGAAACAGCTTTAACAAACTGAGTCTCGGCCGTTTCGGGCAGCTGACTGTAGAAGCTCTGACTCAGGCTCCTCCTCCCGTCCTCCGTGTACTTGTTCTAAAGACCCAAACCATCATCTCTTAAAAACAATCTGAAGATCTACTTCCTCCACAACATATTATGATGATACACTTTATTTCTCCACGATAAGAATAATTATAATAATATTAACAGGGGCTTCACAGCTAAAGGGAAAAACAATCCAATGCATGATCATATGTCTGAGAGCATCTGAAGAGCTGAGGACATTTCAGAACAAGGTTTCTTTCTCTTGGCTCTTACTTGGCTCTGCATGTCCGTGAGCCCTCGGGAGAACTGGGTGTCCAGAGTGTCGGGCAGCTGGTGGAACACGGGACACGACATCTCCCTCTTAACAGCCTCTTTGTACAAGATCTGCAAAACACAACAATAGTGATAAAGGTTTTGTGAGGTCACCTTGATCCACGAGTCCGATGCTTTGAATATCTGCTCCAAATCTTAAGAGATTCCCTCAAAGCTTCCTCATGTTTAAGTGAATGTCTCCGGCCTCGGACACGTTGACTTTGTGACTGTCACAGGAACAGGAAGCATGTGCGATCACCTGGCTCTGTAGCTGTGACGCCTCTTTGGCGTGCTGCGTCTCCAGGGTTTCAGGCAGTCGATGGTACAGAGACGATGACGCCTGCTTCTTACCGGCCTCTTTGTATTTAGCCTGAAAGAAGCAAACGACACAAAATCAGACGTCACAACCAAGATCGTAGAATTTATACATATATTATATTTATTATTTATTTAGATTACACATGAAACAATAAAAATCCTGAACATTCCACCTTATATACAATAAATTATACCAAAATGAAATGAACATCTTCCTGCTGTCAGTTTATTTCATCACTGAAGATGTATGAATTATGCAGGAACATAAAATCGATGATGAGACGTTGAACCCACCTCACTCTGCAGCTCTCTCAGCTCTTTGGCGTGCTGCGCGTCCACCGTGTCGGGGAGCAGAGAGTACAGGTGGACGCTCATCTCCTTCTTACCGTCTTCTTTGTACTTGACCTTGTCATGAAAACAAAACAGAGGAGAAGAGAACAAACGTTGCTGCTCATTTATTCAGCAAGACGTGAGTTTTTAAAAGTAACAGCAGGTTCACGAGTGAGAGAAACACAAACATCTTTTCCTGAACACAAAGACTGAAATTGTTCACGTAGACACATATTAATACACGATACATATATGTTTATTATTCCACTGAACATGGAATGACATATAGAGTCGCGTGTCATCTGCATAGAATGGGATATTTTCAGGATTTCTAAATTCATCACAATAGCAGCGTGAAAACTTCATTGTGTTTCTAATCTGGACGAGATGAGCAGTCGTACCTCACTGAGCATCTCCGTCTGCTCTCTGACAAACTGAGTCTCGTTGGTTTCTGGCATCAGGTGGTAAAGACTCGTGGTGTCGTCCTTCAGACTCTGCTTGTATTTCAGCTGCAGGACACACGTGGTGAGAGTTTGCATCACAACCACTTTCAATCGTACCGAATATAGAGCGGATTCTTATTTTTCGTTACTTGACAGATTTCACAGGTTTGATTTGATCTCACATTTGGCAGGTACCTGACTCTGCAGCTGTGAAGCCTCTCTGGCGTGTTGAGTTTCCAGAGTCTCCGGTAAAGTCGAGTACAAAGAGCCGGCCGCTCCTTTCTTTCCTGCTTCTCTGTACTTCATCTGACGGAGGAAAACAAACCAAACTTACTTCTTCACACTGTTTCACACGTTCACCTGCTTTGGACGTCGAAGTACTATTATGTTTATCTGACAACTTTCTGACAACGGGCAGAAAGAGGTTGTGGCAGCAGGTGGGACACCTGAGAGCAGGATCTTCAGTCAGTGAGTGATTCTGTGGTCTCACCTCGCTCTGCAGCTCGGAGACACTCTTAACAAACAGAGTGTCCGCTGTTTCTGGCAGCTGCGAGTAGAAACTCTGAGAGAGGCTTCTCTTCCCGGCCTCCTTGTACTTGTTCTGAAACACAGACAATCTTTTAGATGCGTTTGATTTTTCTAAATAGAAGGTAGGAAAAGCTGAACCTCATAACGCCACCTGGTGTTTCAAAGGTGAGCATGAAAACAAATTAGCGTGCTCGACTGATTCGAGCTGAGTTATTTATAGAATGTCTTATAAACAGTCAGGCGAACATCTTGTAAGACTCTGGTCTCCGGCGGAGGACTGAGGGAGAACTCTTCACCTCGCTCAGCATGTCCGTCATCTCCCGGGCGAAGCTGGTTTCTGATGTGTCGGGCAGCGAGGAGTACAGCGAGCTGGACATCTCCCTCTTCCCACTCTCCTTGTACTTGATCTGTGCAGGGACGACAACATGCATGAGGAAACAGCTGAAACCAGACAATTCCTAAAAAAGCTAAATTTTCTGTCAGGTAAGAGAAGACTCCACCTCGCTGAGCAGCTCTGCAGCTTCTTTAGCGCGCTGCGTCTCCATGGTGTGAGGCAGCAGCGAGTACAGGCAGCTGTTTGCCACTTTCTTTCCCGCCTCCTTGTACTTGTTCTGCAGTTTGAAACAAACAGTCACTTCCTGCAACACACTCCATGCAGCTTCTAGGTAAATCTAAAGAAATGGGTTTGAACTCTTTTAATTAATGAAGAGTTTGGAGCAAATTATGACTAATTCAACGTCCCCCTGTAGGAGGCTTTGTTTTCACCCGTCCGTTTGTTTGTCAGCAGGAACGCAGTCAAACCTCAGGGATTCATTTCGATCTGATCGTACACGTACGTCACTCTGCAGCTCCGACAGCTGTTTGGCCAGCTGTGTCTCTGTGGTCTCTGGGAGACGATGGAACAAACTGCTCTCAGTCTTCAGACCTTCTTTATATTTCACCTGCGGGAGACGAGCGAACGTCACACGTGGTCACCTCATCACAACCTCTCAGAGACACACAAATATCTTCTGAGGTCGACTGACGCAAAGTTACACAGTAGTGTTGACATTTGTCTTCCTTCAGAGACAGAGGAAGGAAAGAGACTCAAAGAAAATCAGCTTCAGTCTACGTTCTTCTCCAGAACTTATCTTTGAAATCTAATCAGTTCATCTTTTCATCCGAGTAAATGTTTGTGCCAAATTTGAAGAAATTCCATCAAGGGGTTCTTGAGATATCGTGTTCACAACGGGATGGATGGACAACCTGAAGACATAAGTGTGTGTCCCTGGTGAACTGAAGGGGTGCCTGGTGTCGGGTACCTCGCTCTGCAGGTGTGACGCCTCTCTGGCGTGCTGGGTGTGGATGGTCTCAGGTAACAGAGAGAACAGGTTCATGCTCATCTCCTTCTTCCCCTCCTCTTTATACTTCACCTGAAAAAGAGACAGAGATGTGGACGTGCAGTGAAAGCTCTCCTGAGGATTCTGTGTCTCCGTGTCGTTACCTCGCTGAGGAGCTCGGAGACTTCTTTAGCGCGGGCCGTCTCCAAGGTCTCAGGCAGCCGATGGAACAGACTGGAGGACGGACCTTTCTTCAGAGCCGCCTTGTACTTCAGCTGAACACAGATGATCCAGATGTGAAAACAACACGGGGGGGGGGGCATGAGCACATGTGCAGGCACAGACGTGCTCTTACCTCACTCTGCAGCTCTGATGCTTCTTTAGCGTGCAGCGTCTCCAGAGTCTCAGGCAGAGTGGAGTACAGCGAGTTGGACACTTCCTGCTTTCCTTTTTTGTACTTCATCTAAAAGCGGTTCAGTGAAATGAGACATTTCGATCATCGAAGCTTCTCGACTGCTACTCAACCACAAGAAGCCGTTCTTCACATTTGTTCAGTGCATGATTGAAAGCAGCAACTTAAACTCTTCACAGCTCGACGCTCATGAGACAGAAGACGAAAGGATTTCTCTTGTTGCTCACCTCACTCTGCAGCTCAGAGACAGTTTTAACAAACTGCATGTCTGAGGTCTGCGGCATCTGACTGTAGATACTCTGAGACAGGCTCTTCACCCCGTTCTCTCTGTATTTACTCTGTTAGAGAACCAAACACACGAGGAGTTACTTCTCTGGACGCTTCTGTGTCAGAATGAGTTCTTCAGATGTGACGGAGCAGAGAAACCTGCTGAATCAGTAAAGTTCAGATGCAAACTTCAGCGTAAAAAACCCCTTTGATCCTGTTTTGATGATAATCACAGTTGTGACGCAGCTGATGATTGAAACATCGGAAAACGCTGCAGCGCTCTGAAGGTTCTTTAAAATTCAAAAGACCTTCCTGCTTCTGGAACCCGGAGAAGATTTTTGAGGATTCTGTTCGAGAATTCAGCTTAAAAACTAAAGCAAACTGCGTCATAGCACCTCTTTATCCCGTCTAACAGTGTTCAGGGTACCACAGAAAAAGACTTATTTCTGTAAAACAATCATCGTTGACTCGATAAAAAAAAGAAAAGACATTTTCTGATCTTATATAAATGTGATCTGTGAGCGTTGGCACCTCGCTCAGCATGTCAGTCATCTCCCTGGCGAAGCTGGTCTGTGAAGTATCGGGCAGCGTGGAGTAGAGGGAGCTGGACATCTCCTTCCTCCCACTCTCCTTGTACTTAATCTGACGGAAACATGAAGTAGAACAGAAACCACGGTCTGTGAAAGCAGTTCCATCAAACTCGGTGTATTGACACAGAGACAGGAGAAGACTCTGCACCTCGCTGAGCAGCTCGGTCGCCTCTTTAGCGTGTTGCGTCTCCAGCGTCTCAGGGAGGAGAGAGTACAGGGACGAACTCACGTCCTTCTTTCCAGCTTCTTTATACTTTGTCTGCAGACATCATGAAACACAGCCTGTCAATCTCAAGTGCATGGTCCATATTCACAAATAATAAATCACATCAAATTCAACAGGGTAAAAAATGCTCAGAGAAATTTATAAAAATCTGTTTAATCTTGAGCAAATGATTTTTATCCTGAGGGCAATTTAAGTTTTTAATCTCACCTTATTTTACCTGATTGATTCATTTGCTTCAAATCTAAGTTTACATTCTGTTTGTCACTTTGAGGTCACAGTGTGTTCCCTGCCAGGAAAATAAAAATCTATCCAGGGCTTCAACGTCAAGTCGACATTTAACTAAACTAAAATATGGGAATCTAGAAATGCTGTGGGTTTAAAACAGGGATGTAAAGTGTCGGGGGCTGCACCTCACTCTGCAGCTCCGACAGCTGTTTGGCCAGCTGTGTCTCTGGCGTCTCTGGGAGCCGATGATACAAGCTGCTCTGAATCTTCTGCTTCAGACCTTCTTTATACTTCACCTGCAGGAAACAGCCCTGGACATTAACACTCGCACTCCTAGAAACAGGACTTTTAATGTTACGTCACACATGCATGGTTTGAAGGGGTGCCTGGTGTCGGGTACCTCGCTCTGCAGGTGTGACGCCTCTTTGGCGTGCTGGGTGTGGATGGTCTCAGGTAACAGAGAGTACAGGTTCATGCTCATCTCCTTCTTCCCCTCCTCTTTATACTTCACCTGCAGTGAACAGGCGACTGACGGTGAGCGTGAGCAGCACAAAACAAACGTATCAACGGCTCTGTGCTTCGGGGCTGTACCTCACTGAGGAGCTCAGAGACTTCCTTGGCGTGAGCCGTCTCCAACGTCTCCGGTAGAAGAGAGTACAGACACGAGCTCACGCCCTTCTTTCCTGCGTCTTTGTATCGCATCTAAAGAAGAAAACACTCTTCAGTGCACTCGTGCACACAGAAGGTCAGAGCAGATGTCTTATTTTCTAAAAGCTGACCAGTGGAGTCTCTCACCTCGCTCTGCAGCTCCGCCACAGCTTTAGCAAACTGAGTCTCGGCCGTCTCTGGGAGCTGAGAGTAGAAGCTCTGACAGAGGCTCTTCCTGCCGCCCTCCTTGTATTTACTCTGAGAGGAGACAGAATTATGAAATCCTTTAAGGTTATTTATCGTTCACGTCGTTCGATCAGTTAACTCGAAGCTGCTGTCGTCACACCTCACTCTGCATCTCAGTCATCTCTCTGGCAAACTGGAGGTCTGAGGTGTCGGGGAGCTGAGAGTAAAGAGACGAGGGAGCTCCTTTCACCAGCATCTTAGGACGATAGTTCACCTGCGAGACACAGAGACGGACATTTACACACACACACACACACACACTAATGTTACACTAGTATTCCCAGTTTGGATCATCTGAGCATTTGTGCTGAAGACATGAGGAACATGTTGATATCATTCTGGTTTCAGGAGCATTATTCTTATTTAGACGTCCATACAACACATTCAGAATACAGTGGGGTTTAATGACCAACTCTCAGCGTCGTGTATAAACTGAAGACGATACAGACGACAGAAGAGAATCACACCTCCTTTTCTTTTAAACCTTATTTTTTGGGCCTCTTGCTTTTGATTCATAGTGAAGCAGAGATAGGAAACGGGACATGAACCGAAGACCCGCTGGTCAAAGTGCATGAACAACGACAGACTATTGGAGCCACTTGATATAGAAGGTGAATTCAGAAGATCAGTCTGTCGTCACATATCTGTGGACCCACGTGACTCACACTACTGAGATTATGAAGAATTTGTTTTTTGGATACGAGCAAATCTCACCTGATCCTCTGTCAACGCTAAAAAAAGCGACTAAAGACAAGCTGCTGTGAAGCTGCGTTTAAACAGGATCACTGTGTGTGTGTGTGTGTGTGTGTGTGTGTGTGTGTGTGTGTGTGTGTGTGTGTGTGTGTGTGTGTGTGTGTGGTACACTACCTCGCTCTGCAGCTGCGACACCTCCAGCGCGTGCTGAATTTCTGGCGTGTCTGGAAGCTGCGAGTAGAGGGAGATGGAGGCTTTTCTCTTTCCGTCTTCTTTGTATTTTTTCTGAAGCGGAACAAGATCGTGATCAGATCGATCTGTCGATCACTTCACCTCGTTCAGCTCAACACATTTCAACAAGACACACTAGGACAATTCTACGGAAGAAGACTGAGGAGCTGAGAGACGTGGGATCATATGCTCAGAATTTTAGAGTGAAAGAAAAAAGACAAACATTCTTTCAGATGAATCAGATAATTGCTCCAAAATAATATTCTCAAGACGATAAAGTCTTTAACCGAGCGTACCTCGCTCTGAAACTCGTGAACCGTCTTGGCCAGCTGCATCTCGGCCGTTTCAGGGAGCTGAGAGTACAAACTGCTGCTCATCTCCTTCTTTCCTTCCTCCTTGTACTTGTTCTGAGGAGCAGGGAGAGTTTCACTGAGACACAAATATATACAAAACAGTGGAGCTGTTTCCTTTGTGCTTAAACACTAATAAAAAGAAGGGACGGACATATGCAACGGTACATTCACTCTAATGTTACACCAATACTCGAGGAATACAGCGAACATCCATCCAGTCTGACCTCACTCAGTATCTCCGTCAGCTCCTTGACGAACTGAGTCTCTGTGGTTTCAGGCAGGAGGGAATACAGAGAGGAGGAGATCTCTGTCTTCACGTTCCCTTTGTACTTAATCTGAAAAACAAACCATGAATACTATAATCACACGTTTCTGTGACCTTATTTTAATCACTGACACTTCATGGAGAGGAGCTGCAGGTCACGTGCAGCGTACTGAACTCTATCAACCTCACTCTGCAGCTCCGATGCCTCTCTGGCGTGTTGGATCGCCGGCGTCTCCGGCAGGGCGGAGTACAGAGACACCGAAGCCTCCTTCCTCCCCTCCTCCTTGTACTTCGACTGAAACAGACGCGCAAAATGTACACTCAGTCTACACCGTGAGCGTGGGGCGCTCAGCTGCAACACGACACTTCACCACTAGATGTCACTATATTCTACACGGCGGACCTTTAAGGTTTAGGTTGTGTTGTGTGAATGAGACGTGTGAAAGAAGAAGTGCGTCGTGCTCAGACCTCGGATATCACCGCGCTGATGTTCTTGGAGTGGATGAGTTCAGCTCCAGGGACAAACAGACTCTGACCCTTCATCTTCTCAAAGTCCTCCTTATACTTCACCTGCAGGGACGAGGAGACACGACAGAGAGTGAGTGTGGACGGGGGTTCTGTCTGTTCCTGAGAGAGACGCAACAGAAGACTAAACCCTCTCTTCCTGTCTCCACTCGTGAAACTACTGATTCCACAGAACTGGCAACCAGATATTAGAGGTCACTTCCTGCGCGGGACGACTGATGGCGAAGGAGTGACGGCAGGTTTCAGACACGAGGAATGAAGTGGAGATGACTTCACAGAGCGGCTTGACTCGCTTCCACTGGAGCTGATGAGTCATTCTGCTGCTGAACTTGACTCACACCGGGGAATCGATATCTCACCCTCCCACCTCCCACAACAACGTTCCCCTTCATTCACCGATTTGCTTCCATCAGCTGCTGTGGAATTCAGAAGGCGTTTTATTTTTTCCCCCCCTGTTCAGAGGGATGGTTTCCAACGGCAACGCTGCGTTCAATTCATATCAGAAGAGGACGATGTCACGCTGTCGCGCACGTGTTGGAGACGTCAGACGCCGTTCTCGTCATGAGTGTAAAAGGCAAAGTGCAGCAGGTGTTATTCACGAGCTGCGTCTCGATTCAGAGGCGTCACAGCGGCGCCATGAGCCATTTTGAAGACTCCTTCAAAGCCAACAAATGTTCCTTTCACCACCAAGAAACGAAGGTGGATCCTTCTCCACCTCAACTTTAGCAGTGATAGTGGGTGAGTTTTCATTTTTGGGTGAACTATCCCTTTGGGTTTAAACTACTTTTGTTATTTTCTGAATTTTCATCAAGTTGCACCTTGAGGTTGTGAGTGAAAAGTCTCAGCAGCTGTCGAGATGCCCTTGACGGATTGTAATAACTCTGACTTCACGTGTAGAACCAGATCAACAGCTCAGGAAAACTCCCATCAGCCTTTGCTGTACGTTTCAGCTCTGACCTCGCGGTGGCGCTGTGCCTCAGAGCTGCTGTCGTCTCCAACCACGAGCAGAATGACGTTAAAACAAAGAACTGGACGAACGCAGAATGAACTTACGTCACTGGCGAGTAAACTGCACCTTCTGTTAAATGCTGGGTCCGGCAGCGGAGGCTTCACATCAGACGCCTGAAAACACACGAGAGTTTGAGACGATCAGAATGAGACGATCATACATGTTAGAGTCTTTTATATTTTACTGAACGAACACGTGAAGCACTTTGAGCTGCATCTTCTACGAAAGGTTTATTATTGTTATATCGATCAGGCTCTGATATCTGAGACAGTGGCTCCGTCTCTCAAACACTAAAGACAGACAGACTCGCTCCTCCACACCAGAACACAACTCTCTGCTACACCCACAGGACAACTCATAATTAAAGGACATTATTGGCAAACTAAATTATCCAATTATTAATTATCCACAAGCAACACGGACACGGAAACTTTCCTAATTCATGCACCGTTAATCCCTCGTCTCTGTTATCAGGCCAGATTCAGCCCTAAAAAAAAAAACACTATCAAAAGCTAATAATGGCACATTTTCATTTGTACTTCCTCTAATCCTCTCTGAGCTCTAACAAAAACCTGCAGTGCCAGTCGACGCCCCAGGCCAAGGTCAATACACACACTCTCAGTCAGAGCTGGGGGGGGGCATCTCTCTGAACAGGAACTAAATCTGCTTCTCAGCCGACTTCATGGAAACACAGCGAAGACGTTGAGCTTCAGGAGAGAAACGGTTTAACTCAGAGGAGAACGACTGAAGAGACGAAGGTTCAGCTGGTGTCACGATTTATTTTATAAAAAAACAGGAAGAGCTCTGGAATGAGGTGAATTTGGAAAGATGAGACCGAGATCTTTGAATCGAGTCTAATCCAAGAGATAACAAATGAATTAGCTGGTTCTTCACAGGGAGGATTTGTCTTCCACACTGAAAACATTTATCACGATCTGCACGTTTGCTGAATTCAAGATTTGACTCCATGATTATACTTTGTCACGTTTGTTGTCAAAGTGTTTTTCATGAGAACTTCTTACCTCAGACTCCCAAGGCCCCACAAGCTTTTTTCCTTTACCCTCCTCTTCCTCCTCTACTTCTCCTTCCTCCACCTCTGCTTCATTTTCCTCCTCCTCTTCCTCTGATATTATGTCAGTTTCAGCCTCCTCCTCCTCTTCCTCCCTCGTGTCAGCAGCTGTCACCACTGTCGTTACAACCGTCTCCTGGACAGACTCCTCTTTCTCTCCTCTCACTGTCATAACGCTTTCATTTTCTCCGTCCGACACCGGAGCAGAAGGCGCCTCCTCTTCCTCCATTTCAGTCGCTTCTGAGGATAAAGGACGGACAAGAAAAACAACAACAACAGAAGTTATTGCACAAAAGTCTGAGAAATATTAATTACTGGTGACTGTTTCCTCTGGAAAGTTCATTTATCACAACTTATTTTTGTTTTAAAAACATTCAGTAAAGGAATCTGTAGATTGTCCTCAGGAGTTTCTCAATCTGTAGTTTCAAGACGATAAAGAACTACATGCACTGAGTAATGGATGCCGTGTGATTGACAGCCAGTGCCATCCAACAGGTATATTTCTAAGCTTTAAACAAAAGGGCCCAGAGACGCTCCCTGGTGCAGCAGCTCATTTGACATTGAGGGGAGAGAGCGCCTCGGTTTTCAGAGCGTTTGTGACATCAAACATGACGCACCAGAAAAAAACAGAAAAACAAAAACCTGCGTATACCTGCCAGAGAGTTAACAGTGAGCCCAGCGATGTAAGTACTTATGCCAGTTCTCTTACTCTTAGTAAGAAAGTAGAAAGGCCGTCATGAGTCGGCCAGTGAGACGTAGTTACTGTCCCTCGTGTATAAGGACGTCTCTACCATTCACAAAATGAAACGTCTCACAGCCTTGATCTGAACCTGTAACTCATCCTCCATGTTTCCATCCACTCAGCGTCTCCCAGCCCGCTAATGGCTTCCTCAAAGTCACCACGTGATCTTCTGCTGGTCAAGGTCACGTCCGTCACCACGTTGCATTTCTCATATTATTATTATAATATTCTCCGAGGTCACGATCGCTCTATCACCTTATTCGACCTGTGGTCTTCTGCCGTCTCTGGATGTCGAAGCTAATTTATTTTTCCCGTCTCCGGCGTGGGGACCTCTCTTGGTTTCCTCTCAGATTCTCTGACGTTGTGGTCACCCGTTCCGCCTCAGTGTCGTTGAGTAGTGCTCAGATTGTCCGTCGGTGTTTCGTTTTTCTAGTTTAAGCTCTAATGTAAAATATAAACCTGTGAGCGACTGAACCACCGGCTCGAGTCCGTCTCCTGTGATGGTTCAATGTCTTCTGCATGACGGGTTGTTGGGTACGTCTTATCACTGTTAACTTCCACATTTAGCTCTCTACTCAAGACCTTATCACCACCGTGCCCTTCATCTCAATCACAGTGCCAGTGTGTGTGTGTGTGTGTGTGTGTGTGTGTGTGTGTGTGTGTGTGTGTGTGTGTGTGTGTGTGTGTGTGTGTGTGTGTGTGTGTGTGNTGTGTGTGTGTGTGTGTGTGTGTGTGTGTGTGTGTGTGTGTGTGTGTGTGTGTGTGTGTGTGTGTGTGTGTGTGTGTGTGTGAAAGTCTAATTGTGTATAGGATGAGGAGATGAAGGTGACTCTGGAAGGAATGCGCACACACTCTGTTTCCTCTCTCACTGGACCATCATATTTTAATCAAGCTGTTGGTTTTAGCTGCAGAGTTGCTTTAATATTAATATTCCAACACAAATCAACTTGAATAAGAAGAGAAAGGAAATGAATTGAACACACTTTGGGAAATGTAGGACAGGGCTGAAAGTCTTTGTTGTTCATCCAACTTTTCCACCAAAGCAGCAAACTCGTCCGTTTCATTTGCTTGAATGCACCAATACAATATCATAAAAAAGAACCAGGTCTTTAAACACATCCTCTGTTTGGTGTCGTGAATCACTGCAGCTCCTGTCTGCAGCCGTCACCGTCCCACCCGGTGGAAAAGGCTCTCTGGAGAATAGGTTAAGAGAATGAAAAGCCTTGTAAAAGCTAAATTCAAATAAAGTAAAAGAAAGAAAGAACGAAAGAAAGCTCCTTCACTGAACAGGAGCTCTCTCCCTCTCTCGCTCTGATCTCGTTAATGAATTCTGCAACACAAAGCTTTTCCTGGGAGAGAAACTCGTCCTGATGTGAACCAGCGTCAGCAGGAATAACGTCTTCAGGCTTTCAGACTCAATAATTCTACTCAGACGTCACTTCACACAAATCCAGATCATCAGAACACATCTCAAATTTACATTTTGAATTTGCTGATAGAATTCTTTAAAGAGTCAAATGTTTTGTTTTGTTTTTAAGTTGAATCTGTTTCTGATGTTTGATCAGAAATGCTGAGCTCAAATATCTCAGATACGAACGCAGCCACGTTGTGAATTCGTAGCAGAGATCATGAAATGGAGCCGTGGAGTCAAGGTGCCAAATAAATAATTCATAAATCAAATGAATTAAATAACCAATTAAAACCAAACAGACACATGAGACACTTGAGATTATTTTTGCTGCCTCTAGTATTCTGTGACCTGCAGTACCACCAGTGACCACAAGAGTCGCCAAATCCAACAGGACTGACATCACACGCAGCTCCTCCCACCTCACCCCCTCCTCACCCCCTCCTCCACTTTCATCACCAGGTCCTGAGTAATAAAATAAAACTGTGTGGGCTGTTGAATGTCACCATATGGTAGAGAGGCAGTGTGTGTGTGTGTGTGTGTGTGTGTGTGTGTGTGTGTGTGTGTGTGTGTGTGTGTGTGTGTGTGTGTGTGTGTGTGTGTGTGNTATACCTTTGAGTCTGACGTGTGCTCCTGCATCAATCATGACTGATTATTTAGAAACTCGTTAGAAGCAGTTTGTTCGTTAAGTCTTTTAGGTTTAGTTACTTTAAACTTGGAGAAGAAGAGGAAGGCGTTCCGTCCCACGAGTCTCAAACTGTTCACAATATAAACCTGCTGTCGTGTGACAGCGCTCTCTGCTGGAGCTACACTGTAAACACAATGTTGGGCTCTTCACAACTTCAGCTGATGAATGAGTAAAATGTTTAATCAACATTAAAATCTGTTGATCAATGAAATGGAATAATCCAAATGTTCCAGACAAGACAGCGTTAAATTAATTATTTATTACTTTCACTGCAACTATAACGTGAGTTAAAAGAAAAATAATATAAGAGCTTTTTTAATCGCTTTAAATTGATGTCAGAGCTTGACAGTCAAATGAGAAATTTGAAATAAATGGTATTCTAGTCTTTTGAAATAGAAAGAGATCAAAATACAGAAGCAAGTTCAGGTCGTCTTGTTGCCTTGAATCATTTCACGTGTTTGAGCTTAAAGCGACACGTCTTCAGACGGGTGTGACGGGGGCGTGTCTCCTCCTCTTCTCCCTCTTTTCCCCTGAGGTTTTAACTTCTCACCACTTCCTGTTCTCCGTGTTTCTCCCCTGTAGGATCCAGTTTTTCCTTCTTCTCACCAGCCTCTCTTTTGGACTGACAACATTAAACCAGCAGGGGGCAGTGTCTGAAATGACAGCAGCTGTTTCTGACCTGCTTCTCTTATTTCCCCTCTGGTTACTCACGGCTTCCTCTCCTCCCGCTGACTTTTGCTTCCTCAGGGACTCATGTTTTTGTCGGCATCAGATATTTTACGATTTTATTGATTTATATCCAATAAACCAGAATGGAATCAAACCACGTCCTCGTCTTGTGCCGACAAAAACATGACGTTGTTTTTTCTGTCTCATCAAAAACCACCGACGTGTCCTCACTGATCTGTTTCCTGTCTCCTCTGCTCCCCCTGCAGGCGGCTGCTTGGTATCATCACAAAAAAAGATATCCTTCGTCACATGGCGCAAATGGCAAACCAAGATCCCGAGTCCATTATGTTCAACTGATCTGCTCCTTCCAGGACGACAGCAAGGAGGAGGAGGAGGAGGAGGAGGAGGAGGAGGTGCGTCTCCTGGACGACTCCAGTCTCTGACATTAGGATCTTTTTTTTTTACCCCTGAACTTCACTGACTGACTGAACACAAACTTTAACTGAGCGGCACGAGAGGGAGAGAAAAAGAAAAAGACTCGTTATCGTTGTGGCTGCTGAGGACACGAGGAGGTCACGGGACACACACACACACACACACACACACACACACACACACACACACAAGGAATGCACTTTTTACACACTTACACAAAAACACATCTGCACATACATCAAACATGCATGCTCTCTCTCCACACACACACGTGTAAAGTTGACAGCTTCACTCTTCACGTGCCTCACCCCTGTCCTGTCTCTGCTGAGGCCGTGGTGGGCGTCGCCTGGCAAGGGGGTCAAAGGTCAGAATGAACCGCCGATCAGGGGACGCGATGAGGGACCTTGAAAACCCCCCAGGCTTCAAAAACTGCCCTCGCCCCCCACCCCCACCCCTCCCAGTCCCACCACAGACCTGTCTGTCCCCCAGAAGATGTTTACCTGTGAATTTAATGTGTGCGTTTGTGTCCACTACATTCCAGCCGGGTTACCGTGGTAACTGAAAGGACGTTGGGTCTAATTAAGATTGAGGCTTTAACGAGCGAGTAGAGAGAGAGAGTCTTTAAAAACTAAAATGTTCCCATTCAGAGGGAAAAAAGTGAGTGAGTGAGTGAGTGTGAGTGAGTGAGTGTGAGTGAGTGAGTGTGTGTGTGTGTGTGTGTGTGTGTCGTCCATTCATTCAAAGTGAAGGTGTGTTGATAAAGTGTTCGGGGAGAGTTCCACTCTGTTACAGAAAATAAAATCAGATTTCCTTTTTTCATCTCAAACTATTTAGTCTCGCTGCGACTTTGAACCTTTTGATCTGCTGCTGCAATCGATGAACTTTTTATGTCTTCAAAACAAAACCGAACTGGACACATGCTCCGTTTAAGTGGATCAGTTGAAACATGGAGTCTTCTTGTCTTTTTTTATTTAGCTAGAAACAGGAAATGTTGATATTATCATCTCGTCAAAATAAAAGCCCACACAGACGCTGTGTTACACTCAATCTTTGGAAACTTAAATAATACTTGACAACACAAAATCCCAGTTTAATACAAACTATGGAAAAAAGTTTAATCTGTTTTACACCTTGTCCACTTCACATTCACTGAAATAGAATTTAACACTTGAGTCACAAAGAAACTTCAGGCGTCAGATCAGTGAACAAAACGAGAACATTGTGTTTAAAAGCATTAAAACTAATTGGACACAAGAAGTCGATAAATTTAGGTTTCAAAGTGATTTTA